TATCTATCTATCTATCTATCTATCTATCTATCTATCTATCTATCTATGCATGTGTGTGTGTGTGTGTGTGTGTGTTGTTATTAAATGTTTAATTGTTAAGAGAGATAAGGGGATTTAGATTAAACAGAAAGGGAGATTATATACTTGTCTTGTTATGTATGTTTGTAATTTTTTAAATTGTTTTTATTGAAGTTTTCAAAAATACAAATCTCATTTATATTCGTAACAACATTTTGGCATTGACAAATACCTATATCATATATATATATATATATATATATATATATATATACACAGAAGCCTGATGATGGCAGATGAGATTCTGCTGAAACGTCGCTACAACTTTAAAAGCACAGCTACTATGGCGTGGGAAAATACCCGAGCAAAGCCGAATGCCATATATATAAAACAACAACTGTAAAAGTCTGACTCACAGACGAACACAATACAGAAGCCTGATGATGGCAGATGAGTTTCTGCCGAAACGTTGCTACAACTTTAAAAGCACAACTATAATGACGTGGGAAAATACCTGAACAAAGCTGAATACCATACATGCAAGTACCCACGAAAACTTAAGAATACACACACACACACACACACACACACACACACACACACATATATATATATAATATATAATATACACATTTACATTAATAATCTCTTAAGGTCTCATTTTATTTACAATAATCCATTCTTCCTAATTATTATATCTATTTTTTAATCACTCATACCATTTATCCCATATTGTGCAATAATCGGAATCCTCTTTGTCTTTCATTTCCAATGTAAGCTTATCCATTTCAGCATATTCCAGTATTTTTTTATGACTAGATCCTCTGAAGGGATATTAGCTCCTTTCCACAATTGTGCAAAAGCTATTCTGGAGCCAAATATGGAGTATAATATACTTAATCTTTTTAGGGTATTGGCCTGGGATTATTCCTAATAGAAAAAATTCTGGTTTGAGTTCAGTTTGGTGTTTGGTGATCTCTTGTAGCCAGTTCTTTATTTTAACCCAATATTTCCTGGTCTCGGGCCATAACCACCACATATGATAAATGGTACCATCTTTTTGTACACATTTCCAACATTTTGGGCTTGTGTTGAGATATATCTTGTCCAATCTCGCTGGGGCCAGATGCCACTGATTGAACGTTTTATATAAATTTTCTTTGTAGGCTGTAGAGGTCGTTAATTTGTAATTCCTAATGCATAATTTCTCCCATTAATCTAATTCAATACTTATCCGAAGTTTCGAGCCCATGCTATCATAAAACCCTTTACAATTTCTTCTTCCATATTAAATTCATAAAGAGCAACAATAATTAGATAAAATTTTAGTTGGAACAGACTTTTTATCTATTGAGATATTTATACATTTTAGTTATAAATTTTTCCTCTGTTCCAACTTAAATTTTA